AGTTATGATTTCCCCAATTTTCGGAATCCTTCCCGCTATGTCTTCTATAATTTCGCCTAAGTATTCTCTACCGATCATGAGCACTCATATTACTGTAAATCTCTCCCAAGTAATTACGACAATTTACTAGACGCACTCTCCCGAGCTACGCTAGCTGGCTTTTAATATAGCTCACTTCAGATCGCACCCAAGGCTTCGTTATCCCTAATCCCGCCTTTAAACCCTCGGTTATTGATCCCTCATATACTCTGGGAGTGGTGTTGTTCAACAATTACCTAAATATGCACTCTCTCCCGAGTTATGCATACTAAATAGGCACAACTAATTGAGAGCTCTTCAATCAACCAGAATATAAACGTAGTTGAACAAATAGAGAAAAGCTATGGCTCAATTATATAAAAACATAACAAGAATTTATCCTACAAAAGGTTCTATCAAAACTCTAGATAACAAATTAGCTATTCATAATAGTATGTAAAACTACAATACTAAAAGTCATAACCAACAATGAAAAATAGGAAGAGGAAGGAAAAAACTCGTAGAAGAATTCTCCGACTTGCTCCCAATGTGTTCTTGCCTCCAAGGGTGTTGTCTAACCCTAAAGTAGTGTCTCTCCGCCTCCTTAGGTCTAATTTGTGTCCAAAATATGTCCCCTTCTTGTTCTTGGCCGGCCTCCTTTGTTTAATATAGGGTTTAGGACTTAAAATCCCATGTTTTGCACTTTAGTCCCTGAAATTTTCGCTTCCTGCCGCGGTCCCACCGCGGTCGCGGTCAAACCGCGGCCAGACATACTCTCTGATTCTTCAGTTGTCCGCGAGTACACTCTGCCGCGGTTCTGCCGCAGTCGCGGTGGAACCGCGGTTTTTAACCCTGTTCCGTTGGGAATTTGGAAAAACGTAAAATATGAAAGTTGTAGCCCTTTGAGTTAGCTTTCCAACCATATATTTTGGAGCCCAAATGGAGTTCTGAGCAAAAAGTTATGTCTATTTTACTAGACAGTGCGCAATATGCCTCCTCAAGTCTTCGTTCGTACTTAATTATCAAATTTGACCTCCGAACACGATCCCGGCTTAATTCCTTGAGCTTTTACTCAGACTTCAAATCTTCAAATCACTTAAATTCATTCCATAACATTTATATAGCTCGGAATCACACCTACAAGGCATAAAACACACAATTAGTGCAAAACACTAGCGATTAAAGCGCAAACTCAATTAAAGTGCAGTAAATTCGAGTGTAATAAGCGACTAAAATATGCAATTATAGCCTATCATCAATCAACCACTTATTGATTCCATTCTACATCAATAGGAATATTATGATCAAGAAATCAAGGCTTTCCCAATCGAACACGGCAATACTTCATAGGATATACATCACACCAAACCACTTCTTTAAAGTCTCCTTTGGTTATGGTAACCATCACACCTCTATCAACTCGCTCACCCCGAAATTTATAAGGCGACTCCCTTGGAATACAACTCAATTCCAACCATTCAACAAAGGAAGACGCAATAAAGTTGGTCACATAGTGATTACTTATAGCAACCAAGCAACTATCATAGCCTTCTACTTTCGCCACATAATGCCTCAAATTTATCTTTCTCCCACTTTCATCATAAAACATTTCAACACTTGGAGAAGCACAATTAGTTTCATAAGAAGAATCCACATAATCATCCATACCTCCCTTATGACTCCTTGTACCTACAAAAGAAAACTTAAAGCAAGAAAGTTGGTTAGTCAAAAATAGGACCTCACTATTCACCCCCTTAGTGTTTCACTCAGTATATATGTCACTCAACACTCGTGTTAACACTCAGGTCAAAGGCTTTTGTGACCTCGCTCAAATGAACTCACCACTCTAGCCTTTTTCCACACAAGGGTATCTAAAAGTTCTCTTCACAATCAATGTTCTCAAATAAATCGAAGTAGGCAATCAAGTATCGGTTCGGAGTGGAATGTATGTGACACCAAAGAAAGCACAATTAAAAGCTAACGGACTTGATCCAAATAATTCACAACGAAATTAAAAGAGAAAAGCACGAAAGAAATGGCACGAAATAAAATAAAGCACATAAAGAAACTAGAAATAAACTTAATATGAACTAATATCAAGTTTACACTAGTTGAGAGTTTAGTTTACTGCAAATCGGAAGAGAGAGAAAGACAAGAAACTACAAAGTTTGGTCATATTCTAAAAAATCGGCTATTTTTGCAAAACTAGTCATATTTGCAAAACTTAAACTGGGCAGAAACTATAGGCTGCTGAACTCATCAACAGAAGCTGGACTGTGCAGAAATTGCAGAAGTTTGGCTTCAGTTGTGGTGATTTCAAATGCAGTCCCAAACTATTTTCAGTATATTCTTAATCGACAACCTTCAACTCAAAACTCAGAAACCAAAAAGAACTTCAGCAGCAAACTCAATCCTTAGGAGAAGAAATTGAGATAGATTTACTACAAGCAGAATTCAACTTCAAAACACAGGGGAAAAACTTCAGCGACTCACAACAAGCTCTAAACAGTTCACAATTCAACAGCAACCTCCAGTCGCGCTCACAAATTCACTCAGTAACAAATCAACAAGAAGCTCGAGTCGACTTATGAACTCAAACTCAATCAATTCCAAAGAACTAAAGATGAATTTCAGTCTCCAACAGATAACCAATCAATTTCTCTTCAATTTTCAGAAGTTGAGCTAAGTTTATTATTATTTTTTAACACATTGAATAGCCACAGAGATTTTAGAAAATATCCGCATACAAACTCTGTAGTACTATTTTCTTATGAAAAACAAAGTGCAAGTAGACTATGAGATTACAAGATGATACGAGGATCACGCTAGCCACTCATCGAAGTACATAATTACTTCTTAATTTTTGATGATTTACAAGTGATGATGTTACGCATTGATGAAAAATAGGAAAATACTTGTAAGTTTAACATATGAAAAATTAAATGAAGAATAAATGTTGATCCAACAAGATACAACACCATCAACTGATACTCCTTAAAATGATATGCGAAAACTATAGTAGGATCTGTCAATGTGTGTAGTATTCTGTAACGATTGATTTAGAAAGTCTCACTTGTTTCAACGGATACTAATTAGACCTTATAATAATCAAGGGCGGCTCAACAGATTTAGCAGCCTAAAGCCAAATTTTGATAAAAATACAAAATTACACACCTCTCACGCCAAAAGATAGCAAAAAATAAAATTCTGGGTTCAAAAATTAAATCTCAGATCTATAAAACAAAAGAGTTTCAAAATTGAGAACAAAAACCAAAAACAAAAGAGATTTTTCAAAGCTGGTTGGAACTTCTACTCTTCTGCTTCATATTCATGGAATTTCACATGATATTCTATCTCTTTCTCATTTTGCCTTTATTTGGCCCGCTAAATCTTCTCTATTTTGCAAATTAGGGATGGACGACGATTATAATTTCTCGGTGCCAAAATACCACGACCATGACCGTTCCAAATGTGAAGATGAGGAATGGAATGCTGCTTCTGAGCGTTGGTTCGCCTCCAGTGATATCGATTCATGCGATGCTGAGAATTTTCTGAGTTTGTGTGAATCACCCTTTTATCTCTGCGGCCGCACTTTCAAATTGTGCTGTCCGCACAACCCAAGACTGCCAAGAGCAATAGATTCAGAATAGTATCGAGTGAGTGAGAGTATGAGAGAATAACAGTGGTTCTTCCGCGATTCCAGTCCGTCCCCCAAATCTAGCCAAAACCAATTACATAACGTAAATATAGCTACAAGAAACTAATCTAGCTAACGAAATCAAAGCTAAGGCAAGAAAATTAGAAAAACGCCCGAAAAGTCTCCCCGGGCTCACGTCTTGGAATCGGGTAAAAGTCACAATTATGAACACCCATTCACTCACGAGTTCACTCGTACCCAAATTATTCCAATGGGGATGGTATACAACTATAATCTACTAGTTTTCCTGGGCATGAAGCTGAGTCTGCTACACAGGAAATTACAAGTGGGATTACACAACCTACAAACAAATTACGCACCAACACTACAACAGCTAAGGCTCAAACTATGCCGTTGTTCTATTTTAAAAATTCTATTTATTAGTTTTCTTGTCATTTTTGGCCGTAACGGACCATTATGATTCATGTACTTAGACTCAAAAGGCTTATACACAGTGACTTCAATTTTTGGGTGTTCATGTAGCACTTCACAAAAAAAAAAAAAAGAATCCAAAATTTACAAACCTATACAAATATATGCACACAATTTAATGTTATCTTTCCTCTTTTCTATACTTGTTTATAGTGTAGTTATTTTACAAGATATAGAACTTTTAACTTTACTTAGTATATTATTATTATTTATAATAGCAAGGTGAATTAAAGTTAATAAGAAATTAGCCATATGTTTGCACTATATTACCTTGAATCTTGTCGTAAAAAATTTTATTTACTAATATGAAGATTTGAGTAGTTTAATTCAAAGTTCTATAATATTTCTAATGCTAAAAAGTAAACATTTTATGTTTCTTCTTTTTTTACACATATTTTGAACTTTTTTCTATAAATTTCAATATTGTTTTAGCGAAATATTATTATATATTCCATTATTAATACTTTTTGGGGCCTCAAAATTTGGAAGCCTAAAGCAAATGCTTTAGTAGCCTCACCTTGAGCCACCCATGCAAATGATCTGTACCTTTGGATACCAATTATTCTCTACAACACAGATAACTAATAACTTTATTCATCCCGGCTTAGCTAGATTCAAAAGCGGAGCCAGGATTTTAACCTTCTGGGTATTGAATGTAGAATGACGACTTTAAATGCTTGATTGAGTTTCAAATGTTATATTTGTACATATTTATTGAATTTTTCTTAACGCAAAATACACTACTGAGCTAGCCATTTTTGTCTTTGCTGTTGTTTCAATCCTGATTTCCCAAGATTTTCACTCACTTTTACTAAATCACACCTTGGGTGCTGGTATACATTTGCGTCTGAAGTAGAGAACAAACTCATAAATCTTATCAAGATTGAAGTATGACAAATACTTTGGCTAGAACATATGTACAACTTTAATTTTCATACCCGTTATTGCAAATTCCCAACTAAATACTCCAATAGTAACCTACTACCATTGATTCATTTCTATAAATCTACCAAGTACTAACTAGGCTAACCGAGAAAGCGGTGGTTTCCGCCTTCCTCCGCCGTCTACAACCGTCCCACAACCTAACTACGTTGCCGTCAATTACCTTCATGTCCTGGTATCTATACCACCCCATTTCCCCATTTCTCATTTTCAATAAATTTTCCCAGTTCTCAAACCACATTTCATGAACGGCGCCACCATCTTCTCCTTCTTGATCACCGTCGTCTCCATCGACGTCACATTCGTCGCCGTCATCTTGCTTAAAATACACCGTTAGTTTCCCTTTTGTTCCTTCTTCTTTGTTCATAGCAACACCAGTGTACATCTCAGTATTGACTGTTGAAGATGACGGTACCGACGTCTTCGGCGGTGGAGATGGAGACAGGGCACCGGGAAAGTCGCCACGTGTCTCCGGTGAGGGCAAAGTTGAAGTTTTGATCCTCCAAAAGCTAACGGCAGCCGTAATAACGGCGACCCATGCCCAAACATTGTTGACGACAGTCAAGAAACCGAAGCTCAAGTAATTAAAAGCAAGAGCTTCGAGCGGATATTCCAATATTGTATTCATGTCTTTAACAAAGAGACTATAGCTAGAGTTATTTTCGTTTTCTCTCTATGTTAATGCAGAAAGTGGAGCGTAAAGAAGGGATTATATATATGGAAGTTTGGGTGATGAACGTGAGCTAGCCGTGAAATAATTAAGGGAACAGTACCGAGAAGCATCTTAGATTAGATGCTGGGAATCGTGAGCGAAGATGCTAAGGTAAGATCCAAATTCCTATGGCTGTTACTATATGTACGAAAGAGTAATAATCTGAGCCAAACTCATTTGATCCGCTTAATCTACCCAACTTTGAGTCGGTCGGCTATTTGTTGAACTCAGCCATCTTGATCCAATTTATCTCAGCTCATCTAAAGTTGGGCTGATTTTTAGCCAAAATTGAACCATGAATAAATTTGCTAAAATCTCTTTAAAATAATTTCTTTTTTATTTTATTTTTGTTTGATATGTTATATATGTCCGTAATAAAAGGAAAAAAAATTTATTTGATAATTAAATCATTCATAAGAAAACAACAAACATTAATTAAAGTTTGATAAAAGTTGGGCGAGTTGGGTTATGACCCAAATTTTAGCCCATATTGACTCAACTCATCTAAGTCTAAGTAACTTTGGGTGGACCAATAATCTGTACAAGATCTCATATTACCCCTGACAATAAGTTAAATCGCGTGATCTGCGACCTCATTCGTAAAAAAGATCTCCCCCTCTCCTCTCAGCAACTTTATAAAAAAATACAGAAACTTGAACCAAAATTTCACGTTGAAGCTAAAATTTCATGCTAATATAACATGAATTTGTTTCACATTGAAGCTAAAACTTCATACTAATACATGCTGAAGTTATATATTTATCCTGAAGTCTACTGTTTTGTCATGAGGTTTATCCGAAACTTCAGTCTAAACATGCTGAAATTTTTTAGTTCATTTGCTAAAACTTCAGTCTAAACATGCTAAAGTTTTTTGGTTCATTTGCTAAAACTTCAAACTAAACATGCTTAAGTTTTTGTTCTGCAGTATGTAATTTTCTAATGAGTTTTTGCTAATGCATGCTGAAGTTATTTAGTTCATTTGCTCAAAATTCATACCAACATGCTGAAGTTTTGTGCTGCAGTCGACAGTTTTGTCATGAGTTTTATCCGAAACTTCAGTCTAAACATGCTGAAACTTTTTAGTTCATTTGCTAAAATTTCAGACTAAACATGCTTAAGTTTTTGTCTTGCAGTATGTAATTTTCCAATGAGATTTTACTAATGCATGCTGAAGTTATTTAGTTCATTTACTAAAACTTCATACCAAAGCATGCTGAAGTTTTGTCCTGCAGTTTATAGTTTTGTCATGAGTTTTATTCGAAACATCAGTCTAAAAAAATTGAAGTTTCTTAGTTCATTTGCCAAAACTTCCGACTAAACATGCTTAAGTTTTTGTCTTGCAATATGTAATTTTCTAATGAGTTTTTGCTAATGCATGCTGAAGTTATTTATACCAAAACATGCTGAAATTTTGTCCGGCAGTCTACAGTTTTGAAAATAGTCTTTTATTAAAGAAGGGCAAAATCATCTGTTTAAAATGATTTTAACAAAAAAAACGGGTACGGATGCAAACGAAAAAATAAAGCGGGTACAAGTTAAATAGGGGAAACCAATTGGGCGCCCCATGCAATTTTTACAAATTCCTATGGCTGTTACGATATGTACGAATAAGTGACAATTTGAGCCCAAATCCATTTGACTCGTCCAATTTGCCCAACGTTGGGCCGGTTATTGACCTGTCCATTTGTCGAACTCAGGCCATCTTGACCCAATTCATCTCAGGCCATCTAAAGTTGAGCTGATTTTTATCCGAAATTTAATCATGAGTAACTTTGCTAAAATATATTTAAAATAATTTCTTTGTTGTTTGATATGTTATATATGATCGTAACAAAAAGAAAAAAAAGTATTATTTGATAATTAAACCATTCATAAGAAAATAACAGACACTAATAACAGTTTGATAAAAGTTGGGCGAGTTGGCTTATAACTCAAATTTTAGCCCATATTGACTCAGCTCATCTCAGTCCAAGTAACTTTGGGTTGGTCAATAATCCGCATGTTTGACCAAAAAATATAAACTTTCGGTTAAACTATTAAATTTTATGTAATGAGGGGTTAAACTTAGTTAATGATAATATCTCTAGATATAGAACTTGACAGCATGGATAACATAAGGTAAAGTCAGTGGGAGATTGAAAGTAATGCACATTCAATATTCCAAAAGATGTGAGCAATAATGGAGGAGTAACTAGCAATAATAGCAATAAATAATATTTTTGTAAATAAGAAGAATGATTCACCCAATAGTGAACGAGATAAATGATTATTCTTCCTAACAATGATAAATGACAGGCGAATCCCAAAATATTGGAACTATTCTCGGATCTGATGGAAAAGTGTAGAATAATGTGTATGAGAATATTAATGAAAAGGTAAAGTTTGTATCTTTGCTAGGGAGAGAGAATCTTCTTTTCTAGAAGTGTTCTTGTCAAGTGAATATTACATGCCTTACACCATTGTCTCTTTTTCTATTTATATAAGACATGTCCCTAACAAACCCTAATAGTACAAGCGCATTATTCTCTTTAATATCCTATTACAAAAACTAGCCTTTATTGTTCTATCCTTGGTGTTCGACCTCTTGTTGACAGCCCGATCACGAATCTCATTGCTTATTGGTCGACCTCGACTGGCCCTTTCCTTAATGCCTCTTTACGCTAAATTTTCTTAGGGCATATTTTGGCCTATATAGTTAGTCCCTCCGCTTTTTGAGGCCAACCCCGGACGACCTTGACAAGTGAACCCTGTTTGTTGTGGTCGGGAAATTTGGATGAGCAAGTCGAGTAGTGGTGTTTCGGACGAGGTAACAACGTGACCTTTCGTGAGCCGCAACCTTTGGGGTCACATCAATTCAGAGTGACGTCATGATATCATGCGTTACTATGGCATGTTTTCCCGATGCCTTGTATTGTTTCCCGTGCCTCTACTATTTCGATACCTGTGCTGGGTAATGACAATTTGATTTCTCAATCCTGATGCTTGAACTCTTATAAATAGGGATACGAAACCATTCGTTTATGTTTTGCACTCTTAATATTGAGCCTCTGTGTCTTCTTCTCCATTCTTCATATAGAGTTCTTGTCTTCTCTTTACTTCACTATTGTGTATCTGCTTTCCCGGATTCCGTTGATACCAACTGCTCACAACCCTTCTGCATTTACATCATCTTCTCTAAAAAAAATGGTTAACGTATCCTCTGTTTCTGGCATGGCAACTGACCCTATCATTTGGCGGTGCGTATGCCTCCTCATGATGATAATGTTTTTGTTGCCATTAAAGACGAGAATTTTTCTACGGTGGAGGAGATAATCCCTCGTAGTGAAAAAGTTAGGTCCAACTTTTCGAAGGCGCCTGAGGACGACCTTGAGATCTCGGAGTCGGCGATGAAAGAGGCCGATCTCACTGAGCTTAGGGCAAAGTTCAAAATTCTTTCCCATATCGATCTGATCTCAGCAGAGCGTGATGTGTTACAAATACACCACCCCAGGTATTGCGCTTTCTATGCGTACCCTTTTTACGTCAGCTATTCCTTTCCTATTCTCCCATTAGCTGAGGAATTTTGCCGCTATTACAGCATTTGCTCATCCCAACTTTCTCCATATATCTACAAGCTTATCTGTATGCTTACGAAATATGTAGAGTTAGCCGGGGTCAGGGTATCACTTCGCTACCCGATACATCTCTTCACCCCTAGTTTCTATAGGGGGATGATATTGGACCTTCGCCACCGAGGAAGTAAATGTTTGATGGTGAAGATGGATGATAAGGCTAATCGTCAGTTTTGGCTCAACTAATTTTACATCAAAACCGAGGACATGGTGGCCAATTCGAGCGGGTTCCCCGAGTCTTGGAATTATGCCCGTAAGCATCTCTTTCTTTTTTCCATATTAAGAGTTTGTTTTGCCAGATTTAGTCATGTTTTGACATTCTGTTCCTTCTTCGTGCTACCAAGACCGCGCCCCCTCCTTTGGTCGGGGACATTCATAACTGTGTTAGCCAGATTTTGCCTTACACAGTGAGGATTCGTGAATGGCCGGCCTTTCTCAAGAGGTTCGGGCCTGAGTCTTCCGTGACTGGTGAGTTCAAATATTTTATCTATACTGTTTTTGACCTCATGGTTGCTTTCTCATTATAGTTTTGTATAGGAGGTGAATCTTTTAGTCTTTCTTTTTCAGCCCGAGGATCTTCAAGGAAACCGAAGGCTCCTTCTCTTGCATTTCGTAAAAAGGAAGGCCACTTCTCGGAGTCTGTTCCTATTGTGACCGCGGCCAAGCCTGCTCGATTGTCTGCTTCTATTCCTTCTTCTTCCATGGCTAGGTCTGCTCGGTCGTCGACGACATTTGCAGCAGAACTTTTGACTTTGCCCTTGCTTCGCCTAATAGACGAAGATGAGGAGTCATCGCTGAGCGACGAGGGTTTAATTTACCGCAAAAGGAGATCGGTGGACGTCGGCGATGGGACCGTCCGGGTCGTGGATTCAGTAAGGGGAGATCATGAAACAGCTATCGTAGTGCTTGAAGATGACGAGTTTCCATTTGAGATCCCACCATCAACTGAGGTCGTAGAGGGCGTTTCCTTTCACGATGCTAAGACTAGAGCTGGAGGGCCATCTGTGAGAGTTTCAGATTCTTTACGGCAAGATGAGCCCTCGTCCTTGCGATCGACTGATTTTCCTACTTCGTCAGCCGATAGGAGAGGTAAGGGTGTCATCGAAGATGGTTATGAAACGGGCTATGACACCGACGTAGACGAGGTGATGATGATGAGGGAGGGGTTTACTGACTTGAGGTGAGATTAGAGGGGTCCACGCGGACCATTGAGATCCCCATGGATCGAGACTTACTGGTAAACACGGAGAACGTGGTCCCTTCCCTGGGTCCCCTCTTCTTCGACGTGGAGGGTAAAACTCTTGAGAAACTGGATGATGCTACCCCATCGAGGAGTATAGCCGGCCTCACACTCGGGGTAAGCGTTTTCAAGTTCAATGTTTTCTGCTTCGTTCTCACTTTCTATTATCTTTTTTTAGACTATGGTTTTGGATATTGAGAGTTACCGACGAGAGGTGAGGAATTATGCTATTTTTGCAGAAGATGGAGCGGAAGTATTGCGAGTACTATAACAAGCACCCCGAGATCTGCAGACGGTTCGGTGAGAGCGGCAATTTCCAGGCTCTCTGAGCTGAAATGAAGGAGAAGGACGATGAGTTGGTAAGAGTCATCGGAAAATGCAG